ATGTCTATGGGGCTGAAGGCCAAATTTAAGACCACTGAAGTAAAAGAGCCTTTGAGGCAATGTATTGTCCTTTCCCTCCAAGCTAGCCTTTGTACTTGCCTCTCCTGTTAAACTTTTAAAACTTGGTTTTCTGTCATGGTGTAGTTTTATTTCACATTGCTGCTATGAATTGAAGTTTAGCATAATACTACTATTCTCCTCTGTAGAGGAAATAAAGTATATTTTCACAAAATAAAGACATCAAATATTATTTTTGTATGAATGGTTTCTTGCAATATTAGTATATCTTTTCCCTAGTTAATACGTAAAATAATTAAGAGAAAATATTGTATCACTTTAATAAACTTTTCTGATACTTTTGCACTTCTGTAATGTGTAGGTGTTTCTGCAATACAAATTCCATGAAGCAATGGTTGTTTTGTAATTGCTTTATGCTTTAGTTCACTGGTAACTGCTATATTTTGTCTTTGACCTGCATATATTATGCTTTGCCACTGAACTATATTAATGCAACATTATTTATAATTACTATTATAGAATCTTATTTTCATACTATGTATCTAAATTAAGTGGAACTTAAATACTTTTAAATGAAAGTTTCATAGTTAAACATTTTTCTTTTGTTCCTTTTTACTATTACTATGATTATTATTTTAAAAACACAGAAACTATTTCTTTTTATATCTGGAGAGAACTTACATCCTATAGTTACAGTTTATATAGAAAACAATGAAATATTTATGAAGAACAATAAGATTTTTTCTTTTCTACCTAGTCTCTGAGGTAGCTTTTTAACAGCCAACAACCTAACAGAAATTTATAACTAACAATTCTAAAGCAATTAAAAATATTCACTGCCTTACAATTCCTATATTGACTTGCATTAAAGAATAATTTGTTACGTATAAGTTGTTAATGAAATGTTTGTGTTAGTTATGTCCTAAAAGTCATGGTGGGAATGGCAACAGATTTAGAATGGAGTGCTCACAGAGTGGGGATGTATAATTTTAAATACTTGTTACAGTAGTCACCAAAGTCTTTAACAGACTGCTGTAAATCAATACAATTCCTATTATCACTTTTTAATCCATATCTGAATTAGAAAATGAGATTATGCATTTGGTTAAACTATTAATGTAGAGTTATAAAAGTGACAAAATGGTCTACTTTTGATTTGTCTACAAGCAAATTTGTTTTACATAAATGGCTTTTTTACAAATTTGAAATGTGAATATATTTTATTTTTTCCCAGTGAGTACACAATACACAATTCTTTGACAATACTATTAATCAATTTTATGCCAATTTCTTTGATTATCTAACAATATCAAATGAAACACATTAAGACTTTGGACGCTGTTTGGTGACCTAAACAAACTACCCTTTTTAAAAAAATCCATCTATAAAACAAAGTATAAAAAGTCTACCCACGGCCACAAAATCCCTCATCTTGCAACACTTTAAAGTCACAATTAATGTTTTTGAAATAAGGAGATCAAAAAATTCCAAATTGCATGTCACTTAAAAATGTATGCTGTTTCATTTGAAGTACACATTATAAAGAAGCCAAATAAAAGTACCTTCACCTCTACAATAATGTGGAAAGACATGTTGCTTTACACTGATTTTTTTGTCATGTAATTCTGTAAACACAGTATACAGAAACATATGAATAAACTAACATTAGTGAATGTTAGGGTTCTGCATATCTTTAATACTGATACATAATCACTTTGCAGTGGAGGTAATCCACAGTTTAGAGCTCATTGGTATTGTTATTATTTTACTATCAATGGACAATTACATAAATTTATTAAATAAAAATTGGGAGTTATTCCACCAAAGCAATACAAACTTTCAACTAAAATTACACTAAAATATATTTAAACACCCAGAGCATTAAACTATGACATAGAACACAGTAAGTCTGTTTTATTATTCAAAGATAGTAAACTTGCAATGATTTTACTTCCCTTTGGTTGTGTGATACTTTACATGTTGGTCTTGATTTTCCTATATTATCTCTTGAACTAGCTTCAAATTCTGAGAAGGAGTCAATTGTTTTCATGCTCTGTACTGTCCTCACTTAGTTTAAAAATGGCATGGGAAAGATTTCAAGGAGGCCAGATTGACTTCACTGCATACACTGGCATACCTGAGTTTGGGCACTAATAAAGTTATTGTCCCTACAGAGAATTTGCTTGTTATGAATCAAGCTGTGCTTGGGTCTGCACAGTAACATCGCCTATGAGAACAAGATGAGATTAATTTTCTTCCATCCAGGTTTCCTATGGATGGCTTATGCAGGCCCCTGTTTAGACCTGCAGAAGTGAGCTCAGTAAATTTCCAATCACATTCACATAATCAGCTACAAAATGAATAACCATGGTGTCCTTCATAGAGGTTTGTGTTTTTCTCTTGACACTCTGCTTTTATATAGCAAGTTCATGAAGGTTTTTGATTTTTTGTAGTGTTCCAGAATTCATACAACCATAGTGTTTTATCTTGCCTTCTATCTATGTGAGGGTGATATATGTTGGTTACAAGATTTGAATGATCAATTTATTTAAAATCAGACTTAACAAGCAACGTGGACTCTTCTAAAATAAACATCCGGTAACCACATGATCTGTATTGATATAATCTGTTAATTTTTATGGACTGAAGACAATCAAGAAGGTGTAATGCTATACCCCACATTATTCTACAAGTCATCTGCATGTAGATAAATTTTCCAAATCTTGGTTTATTAATCATCTACAAATACCAGGTGCTAAGGGTCTGTGCCATGTGTAATATATGTAACAAAATAAAATTTTAGACTAAATTCAGTTATTAAGTAACATGAAGACTTTGCTTTTAAATAGAAGGTGAAATGCAGAGCTGCCTAAATAAGAAATTAAGTCCTCACATCTCATTGTCAATAATTATGTATTAAGTTTTTGCAGAATCTTTTCACCTTTCCCAGTCTCTGTCCCAAAGAAACCAAACTGCATTAAAATTCAGGCACTGATGGTAAAAAGTTGAGAACAGGTTTCAAAAGTTTGTTCAGAATTCTTTCTCTGAGATCCTACATGACCTCAAGAAGATGTTGGGCCCATAAAGAACTTTTGCATTCTAAACTTGCCTTTGTTTCTGCAGTCTCAGGGAATAGAAAGGATGGAGTCATGGATTATATCATCCCTTTGCTATAACAACATGATATAAATGGTGACTAAGCCAAAAATGCAGTGTGAATTGTCATTCGAAAGGTCCCCTATTTTAAAACTGGTCCTGATCATCATGTTGGATATTTTTCAAACTGCCAGATACTGAATGTCTCATGAAAAAATATTAGAAAATATAGGCAGAAATAGAATTTAAAATTGTGTAGGTAGCACATGGGAAAATGTCACAAGTGGGAATTTCAGGAAGGTTATTTTCTACTTGACTGACTATACATGTACAGTAGCTAACATACATTTCAAAATCACATTTATCTTGACCAAACATAACTGATGTTCAGGAACTTCTTGTTCTCAAAGTCGTGGAAACAAATGAGGCAGGACACTTAATGTCCACTTACAAGATTTGGTTTTATTTAAAAAGTGTATAAACATGCATTTTTCTCCTTTTTAATTTTTGTTTTTAATTTACTCATTCAAAATGGGTCTAACAGATTTTAGTTGGTAGCCAATTTCTGAGAATGTACCAGAAAAAAATTTATTCCAATCAATCTGCTTACTGTGAACTGAACATACTCCAAGCACTGCTTTTTAAGCACTTACAATTTGGCTATATGTTCAGTGCCATCAAGTTCACTTCTCAATCAAAGGAAACACAAAATTGTATATAGACTGCATTATTTTTTAAAAGCCATAAATTTAAGTGATGCAGCTCTATCCTCTAGTGTGTACTGTACATGTATTAGGAAGATGAAACAAGATTTTATAATAGAATTCATATTTGGAAGCAGCCTGAGTATGTCCTAATAATAAATTGCTTCTTTTAACTATTTGCTAGATATTCTAGGGTTCATTTTGTTTGTTTCCTTAGGGACTTCATGTTATATTCCAACTTAATGAGTTGGAGAGACTAATTATGGTAATTCAGAAAATGCTGTTTTAAAAAAACTGCAATATAAATACAGCTCTTGTAAAACACCTTAATTTCCTTTTGCTTGTTGTAATTCTCAGATGGGTCAATTACAATGACAGGTAAAGTTAATTCTAAATAAGACTGTCATTTTTAGCAAGTTTAGTACATCTTTGCTACCTGCATATTTTAATGCATATTCAGTCTAAAGACTTAAACTTCCTTCTTTTGACCCCTGCTTTTGTCAATAGTAAAAGCAATCTTTCTGCTTTTTAAATTGACTAAGTTCCAGATGTTAAAAGAAGACTTTGCCAACACCCTTGTTCCTTTGCATCTTCCTATTTCTACACCCCAACTGAAAACCATCTAACATGATTAGTTACATCAGCATTATCCAACCTAGCTTACAGTACAGAAACTCCCTTCACATTCAATCTTTTCTTCATGTCATGAGGAGTAGAGATTTGTGCTTATCACCAAATAAAATTGCAGTGCAAAATTTAAACATAAAAGTTACACAATTAAAAGTTAATATATGGCACCACAGCCTATTAATTCACATATAGTACAACAGATCAATAAGAACAGACAATAATATGAACAGAGCTAAAAAGAGTGAGCTTGCATAGCAATGCACAAAAGAAATTATATACAGAGGAAAATCCTTTTCTTCCTGGAGGGTGAGTTTTGTTTTCTTTCTTTTTTATATACTCCTGACAAGAAAGAGTTAAGGTGGGTGGTGTACGTAAGAGAACACAAGTAAAATATCTGTGGGATATGTGTGGCTGTGTGTCTTTACATTGCATTTACAGTTCTTTTAATAGTACATAAATAAAAGAAATTGTTCATTGCACTGTTTAGTGTCACCACTTCCATGAGTTTGGACCTGATGGTCCTTCAGAGCAGCTTTGAATGTCTCCTCTCAGTTACTCTAAAAAGAGATAAAAAGCAAAAATCAGAAATGAAGCTTACATTTACACTGAATATTTTATCCTGACTAACATAACTAAAATCAAAGCAAGCAGATAAACAATGAAGATAAGGTTATCAGGTATTTTGTGAGTTTGTGAATTTAAGAAGTTTTACGTGAAGAAGATGAACAGGGAAATAAAGAGAAACACTGTTGAACTGGTAATCTAGGTAGAGGTATTTCTTGCACTCCTTGTGAGTCTACAAATATTTCAAAACAATAATTAGAGAAAAATCCAAGCAGCTGTGAGTCAAATTGAAAATTATAAACAAATCTCAATAATAAGCAGATTAGTAATAGCCAATTCAAATTCTTAATGAATTTTACAGTTTTGAAAATAATTTCTCTTTTCTTCATTTCGTGAAATCCCTCAATCTGTGATGTGAGCATAAAAGCAATCCTATTTTTCACATGCCAAAGTAGATTGGGAAAGTAGTTTACTATCTCAATCCATATAATCAGCTAAGTGGTTGAGAATATTAGACTTGTAGCTGCTCTCTTACCAGTGCTCTTAGAGTAGATTAAAAGCATTTGCAAATATTAGGTATGGAATAGGGGAATTGGTAAAATTCCTGATGAAATTAAAGTTCAATGAGTTTTTGAAACAAAAGCTCAATGTTCTTTTTTTTATTATTCTGACATGCTGCAACATTCCTGTTTCTCTATTACTTAGTATTTTATGTTTATTAGTTATACTAACTACTAATGCCAAGTCTTTTACTCAAAAAGATAAATTTATTTATAAGGTATGTTAGTATAGGAGGATTACAAGCAGATGACATAACTTGCAAACAAAATATTACAAATCAATTAAAATCAAAGAAAAACCTCTCAAGGATGATTCCATAAATTTTAATACTAAATAAATGAAGAGAAACTGGAGCAGGAGGAATTCCCAATGAGTTTCTTTAAAGCTACCAAGAAAGGAAGGGATGTAGCTGAGTGGTAAAGTACCTGCCTAACCTGTGTAAGACCCTGCGTTTAATCTCCAGCAGCTCAAATAAATAAACTAACTAGCAAGAGGCCAATATGTTTCTCTGTCTTTATCATGCTCAGTTAAAAAGAGCAAGAAAAGTACCAAATGGATTATATATAATCTAAGATTAATATAGAGTAATTGCTTTCACTAAAACTATTCCATGCAGCCTAAATCAGCTTGAAATATCAATGAAATATTTATGTTATTGGCTGCTGTAGACAACATTCATCTAAGTTAAGACCTAACTTGTACAAAATGCTAATTGATTTTTTCTCAGCTAAACAAACTTTCTATTATTCTGAAATGTCTAATAAGGTAATGTTATTAACCCAATATTATTTGAATCAATAATCTTTTAAGTAACATATACCACTTACATAATTCACCTGTAAACTGTCCTTGACTGTTTGAGCCCATATATCCTATGTCAAGAAGGTCACTGGCATTGCGCTGGTGGCCGCCCCTCAACACCTCAGGCTTCCTAGGTCCAGTGGATCCTTTAGAAGAAGCTGTTCCTGACGAGCTGTGGCCACCTGGAGAGGGGAAACTGGGCTTACTGTAGGGCACCAAAGTCTCCTCTAAAAAAGAAAAAAAACATAAAGGACTAAATTGACCTACCACATGGGGGCAAAACACAAACTTAGCTCTTGAATATTAAGCTCAGAATGGACCATTTATTATTTTATTCTTTAGTTAAATTAAAATTATGAGGTTAAATCACTCCCAGATATTAAAGGAATTTCCATGTGCAAGCAACATTTCCTACAATAGAAACTGAAACAGGATTAAATTAAAAGAGATATTGTGATAAATATACAATATATTATTGGCAAAATTTAACTCCATTATAAAAGAGAACAGCATACAATGTACCAGTTTCTTAGTAAAAAGCATAGCTGAGAGTTTAATGACTCCAATTTATTTTTCCCATTAAGATTGAAAGAATGTGGGTTTTGCTTTAAATTACAGCAACATTTTTTTCAATTTAGAGAACTATATTCCAGTTAATTAAATAAGTTTCTTAAATTTCTGTTGCTTCTTGAGACAGAAATACATTATTTGAAATGTTGTGAATCTCATTAAAAGAAAAATAGAAACAAATTTTAATAAATGTGTTACTAATCTTTATATAATGCCTCTCCACAAATAACTCATGATATATATCACAAAAATTTAAATAAAATTTAGAGCGGCCTTCCTTCCTTCCTTCTTTTGCTCCTTCTCTCTTTCACACTCTCTCTTCCTCTCTTTATCTTCCCTCCTCCCTCTCTCTCTCTTTTAGTCTCTCCCTATCTCCTGTCCCTCTCCAACCCCCCCATGTTGTTTTCAGGTATAAGTCATTATTAAGAGAATAGATGATTAAAAAATGCTGACTATATTTGCTGTTTCTCTCCTCAACTGGTCTTTAATGACGGGGTTTACCTAATATTCTTTTACAGTTTGAATTATATAACCTTCCTTAATGTTCACTAATTATAGATACTGAAATTGTCATCCTCTAGTCCCTGCACACATTAAATTTTCCAAAAACTTTAGCATCATGTTGTGATAAAATGCAATTATGGAAAAATGCACGGAGAGAGGACGTATCTAGACAAGACTGAGCCCAAATGAATGAATGAATAAGGAAGTTATTTCTTTTTAAAAGTTGCGTGTATGTGTATATATGTTTCAATTCTCAGTAAATAATACTGTGAGATGTTCCAAAAATACATTTCTTGACAGGCTCCAGTCTCCACCAATAATATCCAACCAGAAACTGTGAAATTATATTGTGACATTTTCAGGAAGCCTGATTCCTAAATAAAAGCATTTCCCACCCAACTGTTAATAATCAGTTACATTTAATCAGTTGGAGAAAATCCAAGCCCAGTTCAAAATCCAAGAAACAGTTCAACTGTTTCTTAACCTAGGAGCTCTGTGATTGGGCATTTACTTTCAACTTGATAATTTGAATTAATTCACCTATTTGTCTAAAATGAGTTCTCCTTTCCAATGACTGGTTACTTCAGCCAAAATGAATAAATTGGCAGAAGGCAGAGATTAAACTGACACACACAAAAAAAGAAATCTAATGGCTTAAAAGTTCTCAATATAAACATTAAAAGGTAAAAAATCAAATTGCCTCTTGACCACTATAAATGAAGCTTGGGTCTAGAAGACATCAAGGAAAGGCTAACTTGAGGAAAAATCCCCATCTGAATCACACTTAAGATGTGTTGGAGAGCTCTGTTAAGGAATTTCAACTTCAATTACTGGTATAAGGCAAATGTCTTCCAGATGCCCTTAAATAATTGCCATTTCTAAAATACCTAGTAGAAAAAAAAATGGTAAAAGTCCACACTTTTTTGGGGACTGTGCAGAACACACCTGATCCAACACCTTGTTTGTGTGGGGCTTTCCATGTATCTTCTTGGCGTTCTGTGGAGTTTATCCATTCCTGGGTTTGTCGCTGCCACTCTAGAGAGGTTTTAGCTGGACAATCCAGTGAGCTCTTTGTGTCTTCTAAGTTGGATGCTTGTTGTCTCTCTAGAGAGCTTCCTTTTTTCTCTGTTGAGTTTTCCACGTTACCAGCATGCTGGCTCAGGCCTATATGCTGCCTTAAACCCTGACCTGGTGGGGGATCTGGTGGGGGTGGAAGATCTAAAAATTTTGAATAATGTTTAGAATGTACTAAAAATTAATGAAAAAATACAGGCTTTAGTTCAAGTTGAAAAATAAATAAAAACCAAAAACCCTTGCCCTCTTACAAGTATTAGCCATTCAAAAGAACTTTGTGAAAAAAAAGTTAATCATTGATATCCAAAATGCTTATTATTGAATTCTCTGTTGTCTTCTTGCCACAGCATCATTAAAATAAAATTGACTGGTTTTATCCAACTGCTAAACATAGGAAGTGTTCTCAATTGTACAGCATGGCTAACATTCAAGGTTAAATTCAACTATTGTTTAATCTCTCTTCTTCAATGAAGAAATATCATGATAAAAAGTAAGATCACTAGAAATTCAAGCAGCTGTGCTAGTAAAAGTCTCTGAGAAGAACAAAAGCTCTCCTGCCAGTCTCCACAAGAAATATCACCCCTGGGAAATTAAGAACTGTGTGCTGTATCAAATGTAACATATGATCGCCTTTACCCATGAATGTGGCACAGTTAGTAACAGTCAAAGGGTTAAGCTAGCATTTATTAAATGCAATTAACATTTTGCCTGACAACTAATTCTGACTATTCGTTTCATGAGTTAGCTAATGAGTTACAACTAATAAATTATAATCTTCCAATGTATTAATTTTAATAAGTAATAACCAATGCTCAGAGTACAGATTGGATATGCTTTATGGTGGTACAGAATATCCCATGAAAAGCTGAGATGTAATGGAATAGATAAATTTTCTCAGAAAAATTTGTTGAATTAAATATCAGAAATGAAAAAAATTAAGTTTAAATATCAGCTAACTTTTCCTTTTTCCTTGCTTAGCTGTTCATTTCGTCACCTTTATGTTTTGAATACTTTCAATTATGAAATCATATTTCCTTCTTACACCTTTAAGTATTACATGAGTTCTGAAGTTACTTTGTTAAAGATTTAATATCTTTGTTAAACATAGTTATTATCAATTTCTTCTAACTTCATGTAACTGAAAATTTCCTTTTTCATCCTTAGAATAGGCAATTATATTTATGATTATATTACTAATTCATAAAATCCAAATATCATGTATAGTATATATTTACTTCATTAATAGAGAATATTGTATTCAATATAGGCAATTATTTCTCATGACATTTTTGTAAATGTGTTCTTGTTTCTAATAATAATGTGTATGTGAAATTTTAAAAGAGAAAAGTGCAAAATTCTTGTATACAAAAGATAGTTTCTTTAAAGAAAGGCAAAGCTTCTCGTTTTAAGGAACATTCTTCTAAGCTGTACATTTTGTCTTGTGAGCAAAATGATAGTCTCATCCATTGAACAGTTAGTACTGGCTTCTTGAACTTCTGCTTTGGGAGCAGTGTTCCCAGTTCTTAGATATGTCTTCCTGTTAGACCATGAATTACTAATTATTGAAGAGAACAGGGTCTCTGGGAGAATAAAGTTGCGTTTGAAACATTTCTTCCAAAATGAGAGCTAATACAATAATGAGATATCTGTTTGTTAGATAATCAAATAAGTTTGGTGTTTCCTTTGTATTCAATACTGACTTCCTTCACTGTGCATTATTATAAATGCAAATTAATTATTTCATTTGAGTTATTGGACTTGGACTGCAGTGAGGAGGAATTATTGTATTTGCTTCCAAAATAACATATCTTGTCATTGATTTTTATTCTCCATCAGGGCAGCTTAATTTCTAAAATGGTCCAAATGGCATCTGCTTATGCTATCTAAAATTCTGATGTCTATTTAATTTAACCTGAAATTACATAGCTTCATAATTAAATAATAGCCTTAGAGAGTTTATCTTCTAAGATGAACAGACCTTGCATGCAAGTTGAAATAAACAAATTTGAAAGAGAGATAGAATTATAAATGATTGTGGAAAAAATAAAAGTATATAATCAAATATATTTACTTAAATTTATTATTCAATTCTATGTTGATTCATTTCAAGTGAGTCAATTCACTAAAAAGTATCTTACTAGCTTACCGAGGGTTACCTACTGTTAGGCAAAAATAGTCCAATGAGAGAGATGACAATATGGTCCTCAACATTTTAGGTAAGATAATAGGCATACAAAGAAATTAAGCATTTCCAGCACAGATCTCTTTATACAAGAACTCCAGACTCATATAACAAAATACACACGGCACACTTCTGCTGAGATATTTACAAAGAAAGCTTCTCAAATTTTTCACACTTCAAAAGTAAGTGCTGGGTCATCTTATACAAAATATACTTGTGCAGTATTCCTCCTCTCACATAGTGGCAAATCCCTGCTACAAGTTCACCCAAACTGTGAAGTAACCTTTGGCTTCCTTGCTTTACACTTTATATTAATTTCAAGTAGCTGGGATTGGACTGAGCCACCTCACTGGGGCAGAATCCATCTTTTCATTGCTTTCACTAATTCCGCCTTTGTATGAACCACTATCATCTATTCCCTGTGTTGCTTCTACAATCTCCAACTTGATCTCCATTTTTACACCTTTGCTCTATTTAGTATATTGTAACATTAACAGCTAGAGTGAGCTTTTTATAATAAGACAATAAGAGTATGCCACTCCTGCCTTACACACACACACACACACACACACACACACACACACACACACATCCAGGAGTTTCCTATTCAAAATTCTATAAAAGTTGATGCTTTTACAGTAGCTCAAATGCCTTACAAGTTTGGCTCTTGTTCACTTATCTGACATCATATGCAAATTTGTTGCTCTGTCTGTTCCAGTCACACTGCTCCCCTTCCTTTTTTTCTTTTTTTTTAAAAATCAAATAAGCCACAGAATTTTACTTGCTGTCCTCATTTCCTAGAATGGCCACTCCTTTAATATTGGTCTTTTGCTTATATTCTTCCAGTCTTTTCTCAAAAGGCACCTTATTGGTAAAGGTTTCCCTAAAAGCTCTAGTTAAAAATATAGTCGTATACTTTTCAACTTCCTTCCTTTTTGTTTTTTTTTCCATGTCAGTGATCACCATCTGATACACTTTACATTTTTACTTATGTGTTTTTATTGATCTTCATCTCTCTTTCCCCACTGGAATGTAAGTTCCAGGAGACCAAACAATTTTGTCTATTTGGCTCCTATTACCTGTCATAAAATAAATACTTAAGAAATATTTGAATGATGATATTAATGATTAGATAAGTTTGCTCAAAACTGGAGGTGTTATGTGGCAGAACTGGGGAAAAGCCTCTTCTCTGAACAGGGCATTAAAAACTATAGGAAAGAGAGAACTGGCTAGAAGGAGGTGGTCTAGGTTTAAAACTTAAGAGTATGCCACTCCTACCTTTATTTTTATTTTTTTATTTTTTATTTATTTACTTTTTTTGTGATTCTGGGGTTGGAATTCAGGGCATTATGCTTGCAAGTCAAGTACTCTAACACTTGAATCCTTTTTGCTTTACTCTATTTTTCATATACATTCATGTTTTTTGTTCAGGGCTGGCCTCAGACCAAGATCCTTCTACCTCTACCTCCCACATAGATGGGATTACAGTCATGCACCACTGCATGTGGTATTTTGGGTTGAGGTAGAGTCTTACTAACCTTTTAGCCTGGGATGGCCTTGTACCTCCAACCTCCTGTCTCCACCTCCCAAGCAGCTGATATGACAAGCCTGCATCACTGTGCTTGGGATCTGTCCTTTTTGTTCAGCAGTGGTTGGTGTATTGGTTTCAAAGGATATTATAAATTATATTGCAAATGGATACAAGATTTGCATTCAGCAATGTCTATTAAGAGAGACTTTACAAAAGAGAAAAAAAGAATTTCCTTAAATGTTTGTGGTTTTTTTGTGCAGTCTTTGGGACAGAGACTGATATTTTTTCTACTATTGCCATTGTTTATTGCTGGACACAGGGAAGGTTATTTCCCCATCTCAGAAGTTAGTTTGATGCTATGAGACTGATACTCACCAATGATAATGAGAAGTGCCATTTGCTATTAGTACCTCCCAATAACCAACCACGATCTGTCTTTTCATCACTCAGAAACCAAAAATGTCCAATATTGAAATAATGTATGCACATGTGAATAAATGAATAATAAAAAAAAATTTAAAAAAGAAAATAACCATATTAAAAAATTGAAGACTCCTAAATCCTTGCATTATTGCTTAGAGGAGAGCCATAGGACTTTGACAGATCACTGTGCCAGTGACAAAGAAATTTTTACTGTGTTAAGACAGTGAAGGTTAGAGGTTGCTTGCTAAAGCAGCTAGTGATAATTACCTTAATTAATACAATCATAAAACACTATTGTAAAATCCATAATGAAAAAGTTTTAGTGCATCGTGTTTAAATAGTGAATGCTATAGAGTAACAACCTTCCCAAAATGAACAGTTTAATTTTACATAAAGGCGTTACAAGAGTATTCCTGACATTTGAATTCATATTATATAAATGCCATGTAGGCCCTGAGTTCAAACCCCAGTACTTCCAGGAACCTATTTGATTCTTAGTAAGATAAGAAATGTATTGATCATTCTTTAAACTTTATGTGGACATACTAAAAACATTTATGAGAAAAATATTATAGAAAGTAAGAGAGTACTCTATTTTGTTGATTTACGTTTTAAATCATCCACTTATGTTATATATGGCCTTCAAAAATTTCTGGAAAACCAAAGAAATTACCAAATACATAGCCTAAAATTTTTCTCTTGCCACAGTATTTACATCAGTAATAACTACTTATTCATTTTTATATTTACTACTACTATGTCAGTGAGAGCATTCCCCCTTACTTAGAGAATAAGATCAAGCTGCTACAAGCTGCTTTATGTGCTCAACTAATCTTCAGTATATCTGAGGAAGAAAGGTAAGCATTTTTGTTTGCCATAGGATATCTATTTGTAGAAAATCAAAAACTCAATTGTACCCTTGACCTTCAGATTCCATAGAAACATTCCCCAATAAAAACAAAGAAGGAAAGATAAATAACTGGACATCTTTTAGAACAAGTATATTTGGCTTTTTAAGTCTACTTAGCATTGCAAGATGATAAAAGAAAGCCCAAAAATGGCTACCAGAGAGTGAGTACCTCTCCCTACAAAAAAATAAAAGCTTTGTTGTTTTCTAATTAAGCTTCATTCTGTCCCATACCTTCATACTTGTGAGTCTGAGTGTTAAGAAGTAGATCATAGCTTCTCTCAGCTGGATATACATTGGATTCACCAATGGAACTTCCAAAATTCCCATAACAGTGTTTCACCTCAGAAAAATTAAATCAGAATCTCCAGGGAATTTTATAAAATTTCCCTAAACAGTCCTAACATTCATCTTATCTAGTTTCATTATTTTGTTATTCAAGAAAACCATCTCCAGATAACATTTGTATGCTTCCAGGAGACAGTGCTGAGAAGGTAGAAGATCTTTGGATCTCACGTTATAGTGTGCAATTCAAATATGTTGTTATGCAGCCTTAGAAAAAAACTTCAGAATAAAGATTATATTCATTCACTAAGAGATAGAAGAATTTAAGTTGCAATATCAGAAATAGACCATGCTCTGTAGAGCTAATGAAATACTCATTATTGAATATGTACATCTTCCAGTAATATTGTGTCTGGAAACTGGCAATGTTTAAGTAAATACTTAAAGATTGGATGCTATGTATAAATAAAAGGATTGAGAGACCATATACTCCCCCAACCTAAAAACATTTACTATCTGAATTTTAACAACAACAAAAAAATTACTGAGCCTTCTTCCTGTGTTCCTAATGATTATGCTCCTAAAATTCACATATTGAAATAAATCTTCATCCTCAATGTGATGGTATTGTGAGTTTAGGCTTTTGGGAGATGAACAGGTCATGAAGACAGATTAGCACCCTTATAAAACACATCCTAGAGAGGGATCCCTTCTATCGAGTGAGGACACAATGAGGGGACACCTTCTACAGCCAGATAGAAGGCTTTCACAAGACACTAAATCTCAGGTTTCTAGATGCTAGAACTGTGAGAAAAAAATTCTGTTGTTATATGCTTTCTACTGTTTATAAGGTTATAATAATTTGTTATGGCAACCCAAAAAGACTAAGACGCTTTTTTAATTACATGACCTATATCAGGTTTTTAGCTATGAAATTTGTGAAACTAAAATTTTACTAAACCATCTCAAGGTCTTTTCCAAGAGTGAAATGTCTTCTAAGAGATTGTATTTTAATATCAAAATGGTCTAATACTATGACAAGTGAACATGCAACTTATGTTTTCCTTCCTAATCTCAAAGGGGAATATTTGCTGAAAACATTAATGGAAAATGCCAGGTCAGAAAAATCAAATTTGAAAAGTAAGATGTCAGACCTTTCTTGAAGCTTGATAATATGAAAGTAAGTCCTGATTATTGAAAAAGAGGGTGCTCTATTTAAACAAGACCCAAGACCGTATAGCCAGGTTAGGTAATGAGGTAACACCTAATCCATTGCAGCTACTTTAATCTAAGTTAATAGCTTCACAGAGCACATTTCTTTAGTGAAGAGACAAGAATAAGAAAAAAAACCTACCATCTGTCATCCCTTCCCTGCGATGAGGCAATGCTTGCTGTTGGTCCATCCGCCCTCCCTTGTGTTTTTTGGTGGGCCTAGGCCTCTGACTTTGATTCAGGGCTGCACTGGTGTTGCTGTCAGTAGAAAATGGGCTGGTGGGTCGAGGCCTTTGGGAAGAGGTAAAGGCTTTTCCTAAGAAGAAAACAGAGGGAACGAGGTATAGAGAATAACATTATAATACACTGATACTGTCTCGTCTTATCTTTCTGCTCTTACTAAGACTAATCTGTGAATCTACCTAAAGATGATATTTCAGGATGCAAACTATTGGTCATTTTCACATAAAAATATGTCCTGTTCCATATTTTTTGTCCCATTTTTGATAAACTAAGAACATCCCACTTATCAAAACTATTTTAAACATATGAACATAAAACAAGTCCAACCACCAAAAGCTCAATATTGCTTGATTATATTTTGATGTAATTTTGACAATCTTAGTTATACTATCACAGATATATACAAATTAATGAAGGAATTACTTCTCGAATTGAAAGAGATTATTTTTGAAATGAGTTGTGTATTGTTTTATTTGTTTAGTCAACTTTCACCTATGGAATTTAGACACTGTAAGCACAGAAAGAATGCCTTATAGTAATTACATTTGAAATCTTAAATGAAACATCTGTTCAGATACATATATTAAATTGACCTTGCCACTTAATTTTCATATATAAGGAACTCTGCCTCTTTTAGCAGAAACTTAATAACATCAATGTAGAGGATAGAAGGTTAAAATCACCTGGAAAATTCAAAATGCACTAGGTATTTTCTGATCAATATTATTGTATCTGAACAGACTCTAAATTCTCACTGAAAATGAAATGTGCTATTTCCTTTTTTGTGGTTTAAAACATATGTGGGGAATTTATTCTGGGCAAAGGATAGCTAATAAATTTTCAGCAACTTATTATTTTAGCACTGTGCTTATTATGGCAAGACAGGCTAGGTTTATGTACATGAATTTATTCTCTGGTACATATTTTCATTTCATACAAAATTATCCCATGTAGTTACATTTTCCTAAGCCAATGTGATATGATATTGCTTAATGCTTTATTAGCTATTAGCATACATGCAAGAAATGCACTTCTAATTTATTAGTTTTCTTGCACTTTCCAACTGCTCTGTTTACAGCTAATGCCACAAAAAGCACTCAGGCAACATAAAGTTTCTGACTTATGCTTTATAAAGCAAGAAAATTCAAATAACAGTTATATTACAATATACTTTAGCTTGGATGCTATATGAAAATAAACCTCTGCAATGCTTGAGAAATCTTTTTATGTTGCTTTAAGATACCTAATGCATGCTCAAAAGAAATACTGATGGCATAATTTAAAGACAAGATCCAAAACTCATTTTTATAACCTGAGAGTTTAGCAAAGTGTCAAAATTACTTTTCTTATTATTTGAACACCATTAAAAATGTTAAATGCACTTAATATTTCTGTAAGATAGCTCAGTTTAATTTGTATATTACCTTCCTATATGTGCATTTAAGAAGTTCACATACAAATATAAGGGCATGCATGACAAAGTTTTTTTTTTAGCAAAACAATTACAAATTACTGATATATTATTATAGTTAATTCTTCACTTCTTTTTTGTGGAATGAGAATCCCATGAAAAATTACATAATTGACCCATTATATTATTATTTATTACTCAGAGTGAGCAAAATTAAATTAGTCAAGGGAGCAACAGACATATAGTCACCATTGTATTTAACTTGCAAATGCAGTAGGTGTACCTTTAATTAGCATCCTTTAAAACAAATAATAAATTATTGCAGGCCAAACAATTAATGAGACCACCAGCCATTTGAACTGTTAGACCTGCAGCCTTAGACCACTCACCCCATACTGAGGAAGACTTTCCAGAAAATGCATTTGCAGAAAGCAATGGGACAAAGGAAAGTAATGCAGATGAAAACTAAATAATTTTAATCACCAGGTTCATTATTATTTATGTGAGGATTTTGCAAAGTGTGGGTTATTGGAAATTTAAGAGCAATCTTAGCTGCAGCTTTGTTATAGTATGAAAAAAGAGGCATATCCCAATCAAACAGCAGACCCATGAAGAGAAAGGGATAGAAGGAGCAGTTTTGGATCTGCAAAACTAGCATCAGAAGAGAGTTCTCATAGCAGTATATCCAAACTGTGTTCATGCATGTTAAAGAAAGCCTCCTCAGACTCACTGAAGAGAAAAAAGAGGAGGAAAAAAAGGTCAGTGTCCAAAAGGCCAGATTCTCTCATGCAAAGAGTGTTGACTTGGAGTCTACCAACCTGTTCTTGTAAGGCTGGTTCCATCCAGCCTAAAACCAGCTTTATCTGCTGCTGCCACCAGTGCTTGTGCAAAGCTGCCGCTGGCAAAGATGGAACCATCTGAGGAGCTACCTACACTAGATCTATGACTAGAAAAGTTACGGTCCTCATCAGATGCAGAGCCCCATCCATTTACCATTGAACCTAAAAACAAATGTAGTTGTCTAGTGAGTTGTAGATATTTTATATATCATCTGCTTGTATATGCTGTACTCATGAGCAAATAGACTGCCTGAACTCCTCACCTCTTTGATGTTTTGCCATGACTTCTTTAATTCAACATCCATATTTTAAACATACTAAGTACAGAAGCATGATGCTCACTAAAACCCACATCTGTTTGTAGCACATGAACAAAAGACTTTCCCAATGGCTCAATTCTTACATGCTTTAATTGATTAACTGTTCATTTTCCTAAGAGAACTGCTACGTACATTTCAAGTTCCTATGATTAGCCAAGAACAGTCTCATTGAAATAAATTATAGTGTACATAAATTGAGAAACTCAGCAGAAGAAATAATATGAATATATTTTAAAGTTAGTTCAGGCTTCAACAAAATCTTCATGAATATTTGTATACCAGATATTACACATACACTTGTATATCATAGAAGGGTTCAAACTATTTCAACATTTTAAAATAAAAAAATAATAATTACTCATGGAATAATAAAAATTTGAAACCAAAATTTATAAACAATAACAAATCAAATAAACACAGAACATAATAAAAATGAATTTTATAAAAGTTCTAGTAACTTCATTGCTCATTATGTATTCTTTGGTTTTTAATCATTTTAAAAGCTCTAGTTTTCTCTCTCTTTTTTTTTTTTTTTTGTTTTGTGGGACTGGAGCTTGAACTTGGGGCCTTCACCTTAAGCCACTCCACCACTCCACCAGCCTATTTTTGTGAAGGGGTTTTTGAGATAGGGTCTAAAGGAACAATTTACCCAGGCTGGCTTCGAACCACTATCCTCCTGATCTCTGCCTCCTGAGTAGTTAGAATTATAGGCATGAGCCACTGGCACTCAGCTCCTAGTTTTCTCTTTAATACTAATACTTATCTTTAAAAATTAATCCTTATGAAGAATATTATCAGCACTAAAATGGATTTTTCTGTAAAATGCAACATGACAATTGAGGAAAATAACTCCAGCTTTATGTATAAATAACTGTGCAGATACACAAAAATAACTTTAGTCTTGACTCTCTAGAGAGTAACTTACTATTTTGTATTTTGTCTTAGCTAAAGCACACTGGAAACAAAGTATTACTTAATAAAGTCAGTATCACAATGTTTAAGTTGGTATACCATGAATTTGGAAAACAATAAACTATCCAGCATTGGTTATTTTATTTTTTAAGAAGATGAACAAACCAAACTGCTAATTTAGGATTTCTAAATAAACCAAGTGAATATTTACATGAAAGAGATAAAAGTCAAATGCTATAGATTATTTCTCCCTTTCTCCCATATTTAAGAGATAACAGTGTGGTCAGGAGTGTTGCAATAATGAAGTGTTTGTAATTTTAGTCAAGATACCAGGATACAATAACACAGATTCATGCAATTTCAAGACAGAGAAAACAGAAACTGAAGGGCTTAGAATGATCTGAGAAGTTAAAAGGGTGTTAAGTGTAGCAGAGATAGATAAAGTTTTGGCTCTACTTGCCAAAAGCATGCAGATACACTTTTTACTTTCCAAAAAGATTCCCTTGATACAGACCACTGCTAGGAAGCTGAGATAACAACAGCAACTGAACCTCCTCTGAGAGATTCATTTCTAGGTTAATGATCACAAGTCAAGGACCAACAGCCCAAACTGAAAGAAGAAATTGTGAAAAAGACCTTGCAATATAATGCTATCGTAGATAAGAAAAAATCAAAGTCGTATGAAACTCGAGAACTGAGAACAGATTTAAAACATTTGAAAGCTCAACTCCAATCCCTTCCACATGCTCGTTTTTTTAAAATGTCTCTTTTCACTTTGCCATAGAGCATCTCCATATTCTTCAAATCCACTGTCATCCCTAAACCCTTCTGATTTCCTTCTAGTCTCTTCTATCTACCTTACTGTTTCCTAAATTATCTTTGTGTAGCACTTCTGTCTCTCAGTTTAAAGACTTACCTAGTCAACCAATACCATGCCCAAAGTCATAATTAGGTCCCCACAACCTTTCAATATGCAGCGCCATTCTTTCTTTTTTGTTATTGTTCTGCTGGGTGGGGTGTATTGTGGCATTTGCAAAAGTTCTTACAACATATCAAACATATCATACTTGAATTCACCTCTCCACCATTCTCTTTTATCCCCTTCCTCCCACCAGTCCTGGAATAGTTTCAACAGGTATCATTTTTCCATTTACATATATGTGTGCTATACTAACCCTTTCTTCCCATTCACCCTCACATTTCCATCTCCCCCCGCACCCACTGGTACCAACCCAACGCAGGACCTGTTCTGCCAACCTGTTCTTTGATTTTGTAAAAAAAAAAAAAAAAAAAGATAGGTACACAGAGAGTTTTCTTGTGACATTTCCATGTATGTATGCATTACAACCTGAATTAATTCATCTCCTCTATTTTTCTTCTTTCTACTTTAGTCCCATTCTTATGATAGTTTCAATAGGTTTAAAAAAATTCTATATCCATTCTTGTATAGAGAGAATATCAACCATATTTACCTTCTTAACTTCCTTCTTTTACCCTCTCCCTCCCATTAGTGACCTCCCCTAGCATTACCTGTTCTTCATAATCTTGCTGTATTTGTATTAGATTTATATTTCACATATAAGAAAAATCA